AGGCAAGAGTGGTTACATCACGCACTGCTTTGTTCTGTTCCCAAAGTTTCTTTGGCAGTCGGAATCAGAACCTTGGGAGAAATAATGATACAAAATGGGAGAATTCGCAGAGGAAGATGGAAGTTAGTGTCACTTAATCGATGCTATTGTGCAGCAAATATGTCCCAGAGGGTAGATTCTCACCTGTGGCCTTAGAGGTTGTGGGTTCAATTCTCAGTAGCTGCAGGTTTCCTTCTCATTATGCTCCACATTACATGTCCACACTCTACCACACTCCACCACAGTGAAGTGTGGTCACAGTTGGCATTGCCACCTGTCCACTCATCCCACACTCACCTTGCTGGCCTCTATGGTGTGCCATATGTTGTCATGTGGGCTGTTGTTCCAGCTTGGCCCACATGTGCAACATGTGGCCTCACTTGCTAGCTTGGCAAGGTTGGCTAGCCTAGCCCTCAGCATTGAGGTGCTGCAGCTAGCCTCAAGAGTTCAGCCACATATATGTGGCTTCCCACTTCACTAGGGATCATCCTTGACAAGGACCTTGCTCTAGTCTTTAAGACCTGTACCATTTTCTTGCTAAGGAGATTTCTTCTTCCTATCGTGCCCTAAGTTCACCGATCCACTTTCTACATGGTATCAGAGCTAGGCTTCTAGCTTTGTGAACGTCGAACACTTGATGGCTCAAGTTGAGACGCCTCTCGGTCGGCACACCCTTCCTATCTTGGAACCGGATGGTTCCAACTTCATTCCATGGAAGAAAAATATATGCTACATCTTTAATGTCCTTGGGCTGATCTCCTTTCTTGGAGATCCCAAGGTTGCTTCCCGCCCTTCCATTTCCTCCTCCACAACCAGAAGTGGAGATGCTACTGAAGGCAACAATGGTGCAGCCCCTAAAACAGCCCACTCGATTGCGTCGCTTCCGGATGAAGAAAAAGAGGAGCATGCGTACTATCTTCTCATGTCAGCCGTCCATCCTCAGCTCTCGCTCAAACTTGCTCAAGCCAACACGACGAAGGACATGTGGGGATGCATCATGGCGCGGTTTGACTGCATGGGTAACCATGCACAAGTGGCTCTCCTCCGAGATCTCATCACTACACGGATGGACCCAACAATGAGTCTTCGCTCCTACTTCGATCGAGTTGGAAATCTTACGCACCAACTCAAATCTGCCAGCTTCGAGTTACCATCTTGGGTGGTGGTAATCTCCATCATTCTCAATCTGCCGGACTCCTTCAAGACTCTCACAGAAACTATTTGCACCGTGAAAGACATCAAGTCTATGACGGTTGAATACCTGCAGTCACGTCTACTCGATGCCGATTGGGAGCGGTCACAATCTGGTACAAGCCGCAACATGGAAGGTGCATACAACCTCCATTCCCAACCCTCCCCACCTGGACTCCTCTCGTCGCTACTCTCTTCATCTTCACCATCCTCCTCCTCCTCCTCCTCCTCCTCCTCCTCCTCCTCCTCCTCCTCCTCCTCCTCCTCTTCCCTTATGGTGCTCCCTACGCATCGGCATTCACGGCCTCCTCATCAAACCTGGTCCGGACGTCTTCCTGGCTGGTGGACAGCGGCGCATCTTCCCATATCTGCTCCGATCGCTCGCTGTTTTCATCTCTCCAGCAGCCAACTGATGATATTATCGTTCGCTTTGGTGGCGGAGAGACTTACAAGGTCTTGGGAGTCGGCACGGTGGTGGCTACTCTTCGTTCCCAAACCTCGGAAACCACCATCCAGCTAGACAATGTTCTGTTTCTCCCTTCATCGGTTCACAATCTGCTCTCAGTTCGTGCACTTGGAGCTGCCGGCATTGCCGTTTCCTTCCCCATTGCTGGGCGGGTTGAGCTCAAGACTGATGAGGCTCTTATTGGCGAGGGCTTTACCCGCAACAATCTGTTTTATCTTCAGCTGCATCATGGGAGTAGTGCCCGCCCCCCCCATCAACCCATCGGCATGTCCAGTCTCCACCACCTCCTCCTCATACCTTTGGCATCGCCGTTTCGGGCATCTTGACATGCGGGACTTGTCAACACTTCATCGGCAGCAGCTGGTCACCGGTCTTAACCTCTCCTCCTCCTCAATATTTCAATGCATCTCGTGCTATCGTGGGAAACAAACGCGTCAACCATTTGGCGTGTCCCATTCTCGCACCACAGCACCGCTCCAACTCATTCATTCGGATATTGCTGGACCGTTTTCATATGGAACTACCATTGGAGGCGCTCGCTACCTTCTCACCTTCATCGACGACTATTCCCGCCACATTACCATGCATCTCCTACGCCATCGTTCAGAGGCATTGTCGTGCTTCAAAGCTTACGTCACTCGGGTGCACAATATGCATTCCCCAAGGACCATCAAAGCGTTTCGCTCCGATGGTGCCTTGGAGTTCAATTCCGAGGCCTTCACTTCATTCCTTAAAGCTCATGGCATCGCTCGACACCACTCTACGCCGTACACACCCGAACAAAATGGAGTTGCTGAACGCGCCAATCGGACTATACTTGAGATGGTCCGTTCCATGCTTCATGACGCACACATGGACAGAGGATGGTGGGGTGAAGCCGCTCTCACTGCTGCCTATCTCCAAAATCATGCTATTAGTCGGGGTGGTTCAACTTCCAAGACTCCCATAGAACTATGGACCGGTGCACATCCGGACGTATCACACCTCCGCATCTTCAGTTCACCCGTTTCAGTCCTCGTTCCTCCGCAACGCCGCTCCAAACTCGACGACCGAAGCACGGCCGGTGTCATGGTTGGGTATGGTCATCTTGACGGCACCAAAGCTTATCGCATCTATATCCCAACTCAGCACCGTGTCACACTTTCTCGTGATGTCATCTTCATGGAGCCCTCTTCGCCACCTTCGGATGACCCTCGAGAACCTCCATCGTCATCTCCACTACCCATATCATCCTCTCCGCCTCCTCCTCCACCCCCTTCCCTCTCAGACCCAACCTCCCCTCCCTCTCGTTCACCTCCCATGACCTCTTCCACCACCCTCCTCCCACCATCTCCAAATCTGCCAGCACCAGCAACCTCTTCTCCTCCTTTGTTTTCAAACCTTCCTCTACCCTCGATGCCGCAAGACTTCCGCCTTCCATCCCTCTCCTCTCCTTCTTCAGCTCGTCCTCCCCCTTGCACCTCTAGTTCCTCACCACCATCCCCTTCAGCTCCTTCCAATCCTTCACTTTTCTCACTGCTCAAGGTCCTACCCTCTCCTTCTGAACCCATTGACTTCACCCTTCCTCCTCTTTCCAAGACCTCCGCTAATGCCGCCCTTCATCATCATTACGAACCTCAAAACATTCATGAGGCCCGCACCGGCCCTGATGCTGCTGCATGGATCAAGGCTGCTGATGCGGAACTCGCTGCCCTGCACGCTAATGACACTACAGCGTTGTTCCTCGACCACCCAAGCGCAAACCGATTCCATGCAAATGGATTTTTAAGGTCAAGGAGCATGCTGATGGTTCTATTGAACGCCGCAAGGCCCGCCTTGTTGTCAAAGGTTTCAAGCAACGCGACGGTGTTGATTTCCATGACACCTTTGCTCCTACCGTTCGCTTCGCCACCCTCCGCCTCCTCTTCACCATTGCTGCCGCTTTCGACCTGGAAGTCCATCAGCTGGACATTTCCAACGCCTTCCTCAACGGCACTCTTGATGAAATTCTCTACATGATGCAGCCTCCCGGTTATGAGCTTCCGGCGGTCCATGGTGTTGAGCAAGTTTGTCTCTTGCACAAACCGTTGTACGGGTTGAAGCAAGCGCCGCGGTGCTGGTACCGCAAACTTCGTGAAGAGCTTGCTGCATTTCACCTTTTTGCTGCCCGTGCGGACCCCGGCCTCTTCATTGCTACTCCACAATCTCCTTATCGGCCTACAGCTGCATCTTTCTTCATGCTTCTTGTCTATGTTGACGACCTCATCATTCTTTCCTCCTCCTCTTCTCTTCTCTCCTCATTCAAGCGTGCCCTTTCATCTCGCTTCAAGCTTCGTGACCTCGGTCCTCTTTCCTACTACCTTGGCTTTCACATCACTCGTGATCGGACCTCACGCACTCTCCACCTTCATCAATCCAGATTCATCACCTCCATCTTAGACACCTACTCATTCACACCACTTAACCCTGCTGCCACCCCCATGGACACCAAGTTTCAGCCGCCCGTGACTTCCTCACCACACTCCTCCTCCTTTCCTTACACCTCGTTTGTCGGATCCATCATGTATGCCATGGTGGGTTCCTGTCCCGACCTCGTTCTTGCTCGTCACCTTCATGATTGGTCTACTCCTCACGTCTCGGCTGCCAAACGCGTTGCTCGCTACTTGAAAGGGACTACCTCACTCGGGCTTCTCCCTGGCGGCATTCCCAACACCCTTGAACTTCATGGGTGGTGTGACGCCTCTTGGGGACCGGAGGGCGAGCTCCGACGCTCCGTTACGTGCTACTTGTTCTTCCTCGGTCCGTCACTCATCTCTTGGCAGTCCAAACGTCAAGCTCTCGTCGCTACCTCTTCATGTGAAGCTGAATACTATTCTCTGGGCGCCGCGGTGCATGAGGCCTTATGGCTTCGATCCCTCCTTACTGCACTTGGACTTCCCCCACCCGGCCCCACCCGCATCTCGTGTGACAACAGCAGCGCCATCATTCTGGCCAAGGACGACGGCGTCTTTCATCCCAAGGCCAAACACATCGACATCAAGCACCATTTCATTCGTGATCATGTCGCCGACCACTCCGTCACCCTTCACTATGTTCCTACTCAAGACAACCTCGCTGACATTGGCACCAAACCTTTGCCCCGTGACCCTTTTCTTCGCATCCGTGGTCTTCTCGGTCTCACCCATGTCTCCGCTTGAAGAACCCTACCCCGGGGACATCCTTGAGGGGGGGTGTTGTGCAGCAAATGTCCCAGAGGGTAGATTCTCACCTGTGGCCTTAGAGGTTGTGGGTTCAATTCTCAGTAGCTGCAGGTTTCCTTCTCATTATGCTCCACATTACATGTCCACACTCTACCACACTCCACCACAGTGAAGTGTGGTCACAGTTGGCATTGCCACCTGTCCACTCATCCCACACTCACCTTGCTGGCCTCTATGGTGTGCCATATGCTGTCATGTGGGCTGTTGTTCCAGCCTGGCCCACATGTGCAACATGTGGCCTCACTTGCTAGCTTGGCAAGGTTGGCTAGCCTAGCCCTCAGCATTGAGGTGCTGCAGCTAGCCTCAAGAGTTCAGCCACATATATGTGGCTTCCCACTTCACTAGGGATCATCCTTGACAAGGACCTTGCTCTAATCTTTAAGACTTGTACCATTTTCTTGCTAAGGAGATTTCTTCTTCCTATCGTGCCCTAAGTTCACCGATCCACTTTCTTCGGATGCCAAGCTGATTCGTGTATTTATTTTATTGATGTGTTGAAGCCTAGACCAGGCAGTGGTACATCACACCCGGTACGTTTGCCATTGTCATATCTATTGGTTTTTTCCTGAATCACTTGCTCCTTGCGACAACCATTCGTTAAGCCTTGCTAACACATATTTACTTTGCAATGAGAGTTCTTTCCGTGGCAAACATCCTGCCACCACATATGTGCATCCTTGATTCCCAGAAAAACTTCTTCAAGCGTTTGTACTTCTGGGGTCTCTTGCCAACATGTCTCTCAACGCACCCACCAGGCCAAGATTGCAGACTTTGGGCTGGTGAGGATGGGAGAGGGCACGACTGTCGGTACGACTCGCATCGTGGGCACACCGGGCTATGTGGATCCTGTCTACTCCCGAACGTCCAAGGCAACTGCAGCCAGCGATGTGTACAGGTGAAGTAGTGATGTGTACAGGTGAAGTAGTGATGTGTACAGGTGAAGTAGTGATGTGTACAGGTGAAGTAGTGATGTGTACAGGTGAAGTAGTGATGTGTACAGGTGAAGTAGTGATGTGTACAGGTGAAGTAGTGATGTGTACAGGTGAAGTAGTGATGTGTACAGGTGATCATTGCAGGAGCCGTTAGATGAGGCAGTGTTGTGTGAAGGTGATCATTTCAGGACGTGTCAAAGAGTGTGGGCACGACTTGCGTCATGGGTTACGTAGATCCTGTTTACTCCAGAATGTCCGAGGCAACTGCAGCCAGCAATGTGTACAGGTGAGGCAAGAGGCATTACAGACAAGGCCACACAAGGAGACGCAGAAAGAATTCCTACAAGTTGATGCTGACTGACGAGACCAAACCTCATTGTTGTCTGGTCGTGTTCTTTGTGGGTGTGATGGGCGTGATGGGCGTGGTGGCATTATGGCTCAGTCGGCCATACAATGATCTGTCAACAGCTAAACTGCTAGCATTCTATGTCTTTAAACATGTGTGTTGTTTTCCAGCTTTGGAGTTCTCATGTTGGTGGTGCTCACCAGACAGGCCCCTCTCTCAGAGACTGCGGGAAAGAGCTGGCAGATTATCCCATGGGTAAGGATTTTGTGACTTCCAAAGGTACTTTCAGTAACTACCATGACCACCTTTCTGCAGTGTGTCATGATTTGACGCAGTGAAGCAACTCAGATCCCTTACCATACTATTTGATGGGTTGACTCATGAACTCTCTCTACCCAATTCGTGATCTCTCCCATCCCCCTCCGTTTGTGATCTCTCCCATCCCCCTCCGTTTGTGATCTCTCCCACCCCCCTCCGTTTGTGATCTCCCACATCCCCCTCCGTGTGTACTTCCTTTCAGGCATCTGAGTGCGTGAACTCGGGTGAGCTGGGGAGCCTCAAGGACCCCAACCTGGATGCCCCTGCGGATGCTGTGCTGCGTGTGGCTCAGCTCGCCCTCAGCTGCACCGTGGAGTGCACTGCAGCTCGCCCAAGCATGGCAGAAATTGCCAATCAGCTGCAGGCCATCCGGGATGAAGTGGTGGGGAAAAAGGAGCTGAGGGCGGCTGTCAAGGTGGATTCTCAAGTTCAGGAGATGAAGGAAGCTTTCGTGGGTATTGAGGGCCCCGAAACAGAAATCCAGATGATGGGGGACAGCTTTGCTGAGGAAAATCTCGTGTGAAGCATGGGGAGAGGAAAGCTCTAAGCAGCACACCCACAAGTGATGGTGTTAAGTACTGTTTTCCGATTGACTGTTGCTGAGTGTGGTATGGATGGCCACTGCATCTGTTTGAATCTCTTTGGGATGATTAGGTTCTGCACGGATTGCTTCGGATGTGAATGGTACTTTGTATGGAGAGGATGCTGTGTTGTCAGAGGTTATGGATCAAAAGCACCAGGACCAACATGGTGAAGGTAGTGATGGCCTTATGTATCTTGCTCTTGGCCGATCCATGCGTTTGTCTTCTTACAATCTAAGGTTCTCATCTAACGTATTTCAAAAGCTTGTGAAATTTGCTCGGAATCGGAATTCAGAAGGTGCTAGGACGCCTTAGAGTGCTGGGACGCCCAAACGCCCTAGCGAGCACATATTGAGAGAACCCCTTCACAAAAGGAATGAGAGGTTGTTTGCAATGAAGCAGAGGTGATGAACAACAATTCAATGATCTATCATGCAAGGGGCATGTGCAGCTGCCTCTACGTTGACAACCATTTTGGTTGAAGGCATGTGCGTTGTTCTCAAACGTTTGGGCTTTGTTGAGCGGGCCAAATGCTCACCACACAAATGTTGCAGTTTTACTGAGGATAGTGATCCTTTTCTCACTGTTAACAACATTCATTTAATGATTGAAAGTAAGGACTGTCAGAACATTATAGCTTATGCTTTAGTGTAGGCTGTAGTGGGGTAGCCCATATGGGGTACAACCCAATTAGGGTTAGTACTTGTACCCAACTGTTTCATAGTTCATTCATTCTCGTTCACATTTTCTCATGGTATTGAGCAGGTTCCCCCGTGGGAACTGTGCCTAGGGCCCACCACATCGACCTTTTTTTTTTTTCCTGCCCGAAGCGCGCTCCGCCCGAGTCGCACTTCGTCCAGGCGCCCTAGCGGCCCTTTCCCCTAGCGGCCCCGCCGCACGTCGCCTCGGCCACGCCGCCCGTCGCTTCGGTCCCGTCGCCCGTCGTCGCGGCCCCGCCGCCCTACCTCGCGGCCCCGCCGCCCTACCTCGCGGCCCCGCCGCCCTACCTCGCCGCCCCACCGCCCTACCTCGCGGCCCCGCCGCCCTACCTCTCGGCCCCGCCGCCCTACCTCGCGGCCCCGCCGCCCTACCTCGCGGCCCCGCCGCCCTACCTCGCGGCCCCGTCGCCCTACCTCGCGGCCCCGCCGCCCTACCTCGCGGCCCCGCCGCCCTACCTCGCGGCCCCGCCGCCCTACCTCTCAGCCCCGCCGCCCTACCTCGCGGCCCCGCCGCCCTACCTCGCGGCCCCGCCGCCCTACCTCGCGGCCCCGCCGCCCTACCTCGCGGCCCCGCCGCTCTACCTCGCGGCCCCGTCGCCCTACCTCGCGGCCCCGCCGCCCTGCTTAGCGGCCTCGCCGCCCTTTTGCACTGGCCCCGCCGCCCTACTCCTACGGCCCCGCCGCCCTACTCCTGCGGCCCCGACGCCCTACTCAGCGGCCCCGCCACCGTTCACCAGCGGCCCTGCCGCCCTACACTGCCCGCGCCGCCCGAGCTGCCAGAACAGCCCGAGCCGCCCGAGCTGCCCGAGTCGCCCGAGCCGCCCGAGCCGCCTGAGCCGCCCGAGCTGCCCGAGCCGCCCGAGCCGCCCGAGCCGCCCGAGCTGCCCGAGCCACCCGTGCCGTCCGAGCAGCCGTGTTGCCGGGTTACTGCACTACTGAGCTGCCCGACTTGCCCTGTCTGGTGAGACCAGCGCTTCTGTCACTGCACTGCCCCTGTCCTACAGTTGGTCTCGCTAGTCTACTGCTGTCATGGCTTCCCCTAGTGTTCTCGCTTTTGACGCTGAGGGTCGAGCCATTGACTTTGAGGTTTGGGTAGATGACCTGCAGCTCTTCTTACAGTGCGATAGGGCAGACGGTCTCTCCCTCTTTGACCTCACCTCTAGCGCCTCTCCTGCCCCTGCTGCTGATGCTGACCCCACTGTTTGCTCCTAGTGGGCCACCCGCGATGCTGCTGCACGTCTTGCTGTGCGTCGCCACCTGCCTACCTCTGAGCGCGCGCACGTTAGTCAGTACAAGAGTGCTCACACCTTATACGACGCTGTCGTTGCGCGCTACTCTTCCCCTGCCACTGCTGCACTGAGCCGCCTCATGCTACCGTACCTCTTTCCTGACCTTGCTGCCTTTCCTACAGTCGCCGACCTCGTTACGCACCTCCGCACAATAGACACTCGCTACCGCGCCGCACTTCCTGCTGAGTTCTGCGCCAAGAATCCACCCCCCATGTACATCACTCTCTATTATATCGTCACTCGCCTTCCTGACTCCCTTCGCGTAGTCAGGGACCACTTCCTCTCAGTCTGTCCCACCACTCTCACTGTTGACCTCCTAGAGAAGGCCCTCCTAGCAGCGGAGAAGAGCATAGTCGCTGTAGGAGCCTCTCGTGGTGACCCTCGCACCCCCATCTTTGAGGGGTGTTCCCCTTCCCCCCTGTTGCCCTCTGTCGCCTCTGCTGCTGCGGCCGACCTCGTTGGTCTTGAGTCGGTCGGTGCGGCGTCAGCCCCTAGCGGGAGACGCCGCTCTGGCAAGGGCAAGGGGGGCAAGGGCGCGGGTGGGGCTAGCGGGGGTGGTGGAGGTGGCGGTGGGGGCGGCGGGGGGAGTGGGGGTGGCAGTGGGAGTGGTGCCGGGGGTGGAGGTGGCGGTGGCAGCGGCGGAGGCGGAGGCGGCGGTGGCGGTAGCGGTGGGAGCAGAGGCGGCGGTGGCGGCGGAGGTGGAGGCGGCGGTGGTGGAGGAGGTGGAGCTGGTCGAGGTGGTACTTCTCAGTGGAGCGGCTCCGGGAGTGGTCAGCGCCAGCAGCAGCAGCAGCAGCAGCAGCGTTCTCGGGACATCCCCCCTCCTCAGCAGTTCCGTGAGTGGTACACACAGCGTCAGCGTGGTGGGGGTTTTGGCCCGTGCACCTACGTCCTCCGCTCCGGCGACCGCGTGGGTGAGAAGTGTGGGGGTGCTCACCCCACCCAGCGCTGCTTTGGCCGCCTGACGGACGCTTGGCGTCAGCAGTTCCCGGAGGCTAGTGTGATCCCCCGCTGGGGAGAGCTGTCTAGGGCAGGCGTAGCTATCTTTGATCTTGACTTTGATGCTATCCTTGCTGCCATGTATGCTGTGACTATTAGTGATGAGGGTGACTGTTACCGGTGTTTCCCGCCCGACCCGGTCATTGGTACTGCTGCTCTAGGTACTGGTGAGGCTGCTGCTCTAGGTGCCAGTGCGTCCGCGCCCTCAGGTCCTGGTGAGTCTGCGCTCTCAGGTACCACGTCGGCTTCGGCCTCCCTCACCTTCACACTTGACTCAGGGGCTTCTCGCTCCTTCTTTCGAGACCGCACCACACTCACGCCGCTTGGTCGGCCAGTTGCAGTCTCCCTGGCAGACCCCTCTGGGGGTCCTGTCCTCTCTCACTTCTCCACTGTCCTCCCGTGTCCGGCTGCCCCCTCTGGCACCTTGTCTGGTCTTTACCTCTCCTCGTTCTCTACAAACTTGGTGAGTGGTGCTGACCTGCAGGATACGGGGGTTCACCAGTTCACTCCTGCGAGTCAGCGGGTGACCCTCTGCACGGACGCTCGGACAGGCCGACACCTGGCCACGTTTACACGTCCGCCGGGGTCGAGCCTGTACACACTGACCACTGAGTCTCCTCCAGTCACTGCGTCTGGTCAGGTAGCTGCGTCGGGTCAGGTGTTTGCTGCAGCGTCCAGGTCTGGTCCTGAGTCTGCCCCCTGCTCGTGTCGCCTCCTGTCTCACGAAACTCTCCTCTGGCACCACCGTCTTGGTCACCCCTCCCTGCCTCGTCTCCGAGGCATGGCTTCCCGTGTCCTTGTCTCTGGTCTTCCCCGGTCCCTCCCTCCCCTTCCTCCGGGGCCTGGTCCTTCCTGTGTCCCCTGTGTCGAGGGGCGGCTCCGAGCTGCCCCTCACTCCTCTCAGCTTCCCCCGACAGAGGCCCCGCTGCAGACGCTTCACATGGACGTGTGGGGCCCGGCCCGCTTCCGTGGACAGGGTCACGAGCGCTACTTCCTGCTGGTGGTTGACGACTACTCGCGTTACACCACAGTCTTTCCCTTGCGCAGCAAGGGTGATGTCGCCGAGGTGTTGATCGACTGGATCCGCGCAGCTCGTCTCCAGCTCAGGAGGAGCTTCGGCTCGGACTTTCCTGTTCTGCGTGTGCACTCTGACCGAGGCGGAGAGTTCTCCTCTGGCCTTCTGCGAGCCTACTGTCGTGCGCGAGGCATCCGCCAGACCTTTACGCTTCCGGACTCTCCACAGCAAAATGGGATTGCTGAGCGCCGCATTGGCATGGTCATGGACATCGCTCGTACGTCCATGATGCATGCGGCTGCCCCCCATTTTCTGTGGCCGTTTGCGGTTCGGTACGCGGCGCATCAGATCAACCTTCACCCCAGGGTCTCCAGATTGGAGACCTCCCCAGCCTTGCTGTGGACGGTGAAGGTCGGCGATGCGTCTGCGTTCCGTGTGTGGGGATCTCGGGCGTTTGTCCGCGACTTGTCTGCGGACAAGCTGTCCCCTCGCGCTGCTCCCTGTGTCTTCCTTGGCTTCCCCCCTGACGCCCCTGGGTGGCAGTTCTACCACCCCACCTCTCGTCGTTATCTGTCCTCCCAGGACGTCACGTTCGACGAGTCAGTACCCTACTACCGCCTCTTCCACTACCGCACTCCTTCCCTCCCCCCGCCACCGCACTTCCTTGTGCCAGGTCCCCCCCTGGTAGACCCCCTCCCCCCTCAGGGTCCTGCCCCTTCAGGTGTGTCCCAGGTAGATGCAGTTGAGCCGATCGAGGTTGCTGGTGACTCTGGTACTGCTGCGGGTGCTGAGCTTGGGGGTGCTGACTCTGGGGGTGCTGCGCGCGTGGGTGCTGAGCCTGGAGGTGCTGGGTCTGGGGATGCTGCGACTGGGGGTGCTGAGCCTGGGGGTGCTGAGCGTGGGGGTGCTACGACTTGGGG